CCCCACGAATAGACTGGAGAACTTGAAAAAAAAAAAAAAAAAAAAAAAGAACAGAAAACGCAGGCTCATAGCCAATAGGATGGAGCAATTGCAAGTAAGGAGGTGGGGGGAGAGGGGACCCCCTACTTGATGGGCTCGAAAATGCAAAATTTGGCTTTAGCCCCTCTACCAAATCGAAACAAACTCTATACCAGTACCATCATCATCGTCTTCATCAGCGTCATCATCTTCATCGCCACCCTTATCATCAGCACCATCACTAGCGACCTTTTGACAAAGACGCTTGTGCCCCAGCCGCCAGTCATCCTTCTGGCACACTTTACTACAGTATCGGACTCGCCTGCACAGGGCGCATGTCATGAGGCGGTCCCCCATGCCGTCCTTGCCGCAGAGGTTGCAAACAGCCAACAGTTTCTTGCGACCAGAGGCGGAGGGGATCGACGAGGAGGAGGGAGACAAAGAGGAGGAGGAGGAGGAGGAGGAGGAGGAGGTTTCCATCTCGTGCTGATGCTTATACACTGTTCCAACCAAGGAAACAATGATCGAGATAGTGTCTGGCTCCGCATTGACGTCACCAAAAAATGAGATGAGGCCACGGCCGAAGCGTGCGGCGGCGACCGGGCACAAGTCCTCGTCGACCGGGAGTCCGCTTAAGACCCCCAGCATCGAATCTGTCTTGGCGCCAACAACAGGGGAATACACACGCTGAGCGAGGGGTACGTTCGACAACATACAGGCTTTGACATCGCACCTCCGCGGTAGCTTAGCCGAAAGAGCCATCAGGGAGGAAGAGGAGGAGCCAGAGGGAGAGGGAGAGGGAGAGGTGGGAGAAGAGGAGGGAGGGTCAACGCACGACGGCGGGAGGGCGAGCCACGGCAGGCTTTCGCTACGGAAACGATGCACTGTGCGGCAAAAGAACTCACCCACAAACTGCCATGGCCGCTCAAAAAACTCCCCAAGAAAACGGATGAGCTTTTCCCCATCCTTCCCTCGGAAGGTGGTATCTACCGTTCGACCATCTCCTCCAGCGAAGACCAAGATTCCGCCACGTCGGACCCACGTCACCACAGCCATCTTCCATGCCGCGTTAGAGAAGAACGGCTTGGCTTCTTTCCTTGCTGGGTAGATCGCCGAGACGATACACAGAGAATACATAAGCTTGCAATTTCCATCTCCTCCTCCTCCACCACCGCCGCCATCGCTGGGATCTTCGTCGTCTTTCTCGACGCTGCCTAGTCGTTTCCTAGCATCATCCGGGTCGAATGGCACATGGTCAACCGCCCAGCCGTCCGATCTTAGCGCGATACGAAGACGATTAGCGTAGATATCGTGCTCAAAGACCACGTTCGACAAGTCCCCGAGAATCAATGCACGGCACTTGTTCTTCTGCTTCAGCCTCCGTTCCGCGGCACGCGTTGCTTTGTCTCTTCGCTTCCTTGCGTCTGTGACCAAGAGATTGAGGAGAGCAAGAAAGACAACCATGACCAGATAGCATAAGAACCAGAGAAAGGACGAGGAGAGAAAGAAACACGAAGACCACAGATAATAGAAAGGAGAGGGGACGATAAACGGGAGGAGACAGAGGAGGAGGAGGAGGAGGAGGAGGAGGAGGAGATGAAAATGATAAGAAAAAAAAACAGGAAGAAGAGGAGGAGGAGGAGGAGGAGGAGGAGATGAGAATGATAAGAAAAGAAAACAAAGAAGAGGAGGAGGAAAAGGAGAAGGATGACGAAGAGGAAGAGGAGAGAAGGAAGACGAACACGAGAGAGCATAGAATCTATAGAGAACGATGAACAGGAGGAGAGAGAGGAGGAGGAGGAGGCACAGGAAGATGAGGAGGAGGAAGAGGACGAGGAGAGAAGAAACAAGAAGACGAGAGAGCATAGAAACCAGAGAGAGGGCGATAAACAGGAGGAGACAGAGGAGTAGGAGGGAGAGGAGGAGGAGGAGGTGGAGGAGGAGGAGGAGGAGGCGGCACAGGAAGATGAGGAGGAGGAAGCACAGGAAGATGAGGAGCGGGAAGAGGAGGAGAAGAAGAGGACGAGGAGAGAAGAAACAAGAAGACGAGAGAGCATAGAAACCAGAGAGAGGGCGATAAACAGGAGGAGGAGGAGGAGGAGGAGGAGGGAGGAGGAGGCACAGGAAGATGAGAAGGAGGAGGAAGAGGAGAAGGATGACGAAGAGGGGGCCGCCACAGGAGTTGGGGACGGAAAGAAACAGAATAAGGAGAAAGAATAACGAGGAGCGAAACCGAAGGAACACTGGAATGGAGAAGATGGGAACGGGAAGATAGAGAGATGGGAAAGGGAGGATAGAGAAGCAGTTAGGGAGGAGGAGGAGGAAGAAGAAGAGAATAGTTGGGAGGGCAATCCAGGAGGAAGAAAAGAAGATGAAGGCTCAACTTCTCCCGACTTCCCCGAGCATGAATCGAGAAATGGTCAAAAAAGGAAAAGAGATTAAGAAAAAGAAAAACAGAAGAACGAAAGAACTACACCGCAGGCGTCAACCCAAAACACAGAAATAGAAAGAAAAGCCAGAAGCCCGAGTGAGCGCATACTCTCACAGTTGGACTTTTAGGAAATATCCGACTGCAATTACTGCCGGCGCTCAATGCATCTGACCGCAATCACGGCTAGAGCTCAGTCGAAAAAGTCCTCATTTGAGTTAGCCCCGAGAAAGATCCAAAATTGAAAACAAAACGAAAAAAAAGGGAATCGCTCCACTACTCTCCGAATGCACAAAAGACAAAAAATACTGCATGGCGGTCTACCTTTCCATCTTCTAGCAAAGATTCATTCTCAATTTTTTGTCAAAGATTCATTCTCAATTTGCGCATGGCGGTCTACCTTTCATGCACAAAAAAGAATGAATCTTTGCTAGAAGATGCATGGCTCAATTGAGAATGAATCTTTGCTAGAAGATGGAAAGGTAGACCGCCATGCACAAAAAAGACAAAAAATACTGCATGACCAATTTGCGCATTTGGTCAGTAGTGGAGCGAGGCCCGAAGTATCACACACACACACACACACACACACAAGATCCAAAATAGAACACCGAAAAAAGGAAAGACGATCATACGCACACACACACACACACGCCCACGCCCACGGCCCTCCCCCCACACACACACGCACGCGCACACACACACACAAAAAAAAAAAAAAAAAAAAAAAGGAAAGACGATCATACGCACACACATACACGCGCACACACACGCCCACGCACACACACACACCTGTCTCTTATACACATCTAGATGTGTATAAGAGACAGGGCACGTACGTTCAGGCGTTTGGGTTCGGGCGTTCGGCCCGTCCCGAACGCCGGTAACCCTGTATATATATATATATATATATATATATATATATATATATATATATATATATATATATATATATATATATCGTCAAATAGAATATATATATATGTATATATATATATATATATATATTACGAAACAAATTATGTTTGCGAGCTGTTTGTGCGAATGTGTGAACACGTTCGCGCGAACGTGAAGAGGCGCGAACACGTTCACCATGCTACGCAACCCCCTGGTCCTTGCATGGCTGGGTCGCCCGTGGAAACATGGTGACCCGTGTGGCCCGCCTGGTTACCTAGGAATGAACATTGTTTTCAGGAAAATAAGCAATGTGGCAACTTAAGCCACCAGTACCTTTCCCTGCTTTTGAGTCCGATCTTCCGCTCACTGGTATCCCGGTCCTTGCCGAGCCTCGGCCTAACGGTTGTATCATTAAAGGAAAAAAAAAAAAAAAAACTTGTAACAGTAAAACACCAGTGCCTTAAACCACTAGTACCTCCGAGCCTATTTTTGATGAGCCTGAATTTCATTGAGCTCCGAGTTTTGCCGATCCCGAGTCCCATGAGTCCCACTCAATGTTTTTTTTTTCATACTCTCGCGAAAAAAAAAGAAGCAGCCATGCAAATCTTAAAAGAAGGAAAAACCAAAATCTTCGGCCATGAAATGCAGTTTTATACATTCTTGGAAGTGGTAGTGTGAGTATGTCCTCATTAAGGGCGTCTCAGCCCGTGGCCAGGTTGTCAGATTCCAAAAAGTTAAAAAATAACAAAAAGGGAAACACGTATTCGACCGTGAAATTGGCTCGATACATTCCTCTAAAAGCCAGTGTGATCAAGGTTACGATCCTCTGAGGAAAACACATCTTGAGCAGATCACGTTGGCCAAGTTGTGAGAATCCAGAAAAGCACAGAAGGAAAAAAAAGGAAACACGGATTCGATCGCGAAATTGGCTCGGTACATTCATCCTCTGAGGAAACTTCAACTTGAGCAGATCAAGGATTACGCCCTGCCTCGTTGTAAGGGGACTCGTGAGAAAAAAAAAAAAAAAAAAACATCAACAATCTGACCGTTTTAGTCGGAAGATTCATTATGTGGAGGACTACTATGAGCACGGTGTCGTACACTACCCTGCCTGACATCATTAAAGTAAAACAAAACTTTATGGGACTTGCTGAGCCTGGGTCCCACTCCAATTTATTCTGGAACGGGCGTTTCGCCGTATTTTCCCAATACTGGAGGACGTACTGGTAGTTAAAAAAAAAAAAAAAAAAAAAAATTGTCTTCTACTAAAAAACAAAATGAAAACAAAGGAGTCAAAACATAGTTGGGGCCACGGATGTGGGGGGGGGCAAAGAGAGAGAGAGAGAGAGAGAGAGAGAGAGAGAGAGAGAGAGAGAGAGAGAGAGAGAGAGAGAGAGAATCTTACTACTACTTTCGGGTAGAAGATTTATTCAAATCGAAGCCACTTTCTAACGGAGAGAGAGAGAGAGAGAGAGAGAGAGAGAGAGAGAGAGAGAGAGAGAGAATCTTACTACTACTTTTAGGTGGAAGATTCATTCAAACCGAAGCTATTTTCTAACGGAGAGAGAGAGAGAGAGAGAGAGAGAGAGAGAGAGAGAGAGAGAGAGAGAGAGAGAGTCTCCCGAAACTCTTTCTCTCTTAGTGTCCCCCCATGCGGTTGTTATTCTACGATATGTGAATGCATCTTCCGCGTTTATCACAAAAGATTAATTACATCGCTACTATTGGTTATAATAAGACCTCCTAATTGTAAACCACGTAAGGTTGAAGGCTTTCCATAACCTAAGCCTTTGATTCTCACTTCAATTGACTTAATTCCTAATGGAATAGCAACACGTTTTGTCTTTCTTTTTTCCAATGATATTAGCTTATTTGATTTTTTTTTTTTTTTATTTTTTTTTTCGTTGCATCCCCAACCGGTCTGACCGGGAGTTCGGGGATCAAGGTCCCCTACCTCCTGTGTTAACCGCCGCAGTTTTGTTTTTCAAGCGGGGAAAGGTACTGGTTGTTTTAAACGTTTGTAATATACAACCACAACTTGAATCCGAACTAATGACAATTTTTTAACCCCTTCCTCCCGAAGAGAAAATTAGCCATGAACCTTTGATATGGGTTGAAGCTCGCTCGTACTAATAAAGAATAATTCACTTCTCTACTATAATCTACTCTTACTTCTCCTCGGTTGTCCCTAAGGGTAAACAAAAATGGTTGATTTTATGAGTTAAGAACCCTTTTTAATAAGCACCAAGTTCAAACTTTGTTGGTTTACCTTGCATTGAAACTTAATAATACAGAATCACAATTTTTCATATTCGGTAAAAATGAGCGATGTTATGAGTTAACGATTTTTTTCAATACGCATCGAGTTCAAAATTTGTTGGTGTATCTTGCACTGAAGCTCGGTAAGACACATTCACAATTTTTCATATTCGGTAAGTGGTAGAATGAAACATCCAGGGTCTGACTCTACTACAGTAGACTCTCGGAAAGAGTCTCGGAGTTCATCGAGTGTTGTCAGACTTCCGAAAACAGCTAAGAAGTCGGCCTCGCTCCAGTTGCACTAGAGGGCGCTACTCTCGACGGACTCTCTAACAGTTGAATGTAGACTACAGTGTAGTGGAGCGAGGCAACCACTCTCCAAATCTGAAAATTGAGAATGGATTTTCTACAATATGGAAATATGTGCGGGGTTGCACTCTCCAATGTCTACAGTAGTCCTATTCCACAACACGACACGGGCGACGCTGGTTTGTCCACCCAGATTCACGGTAGATTCAACACCTTTTCTATAAGCGAACCAAGAACCCTAGACTCAATGGGTGTTGCAGGAGGGAATAACACTCACTGACAACACTTCACGCAAATTTTCGAGTGGTTTCTCTAGTGTTAGTGGAGCAAGGCAAGACTCTCAAATTTTCGAGAGTCTAGTGTAGTGGAGCGAGGGCCCTAGTTACCATGTTTTTGTGCATAAGCAAACCTTTCGTAATGTTACCCAAATGCCACAATTTTTAAAACAAGAAACTACGTATTTTCTACTTAAATATAATGTGCAATTGTCAATTAAATCACCCATATGTTATATTTGGATATGTGTACCTA